CCCCAAAACCCCAAAACCCCAAAACCCCAAAACCCCAAAACCCCTCACTTAATTTTCAAAATTTAATCAAATTTCTTAAGGCACTCCAAAAAATGGGTGATTTCTGGGACTCTCTGTTCACACTAACAATAGTAATGGCCTTCACTCTCATGGGGTGGTACTTCATTGCGTTCATCAACGGGGATGCCCATCCAAGGTGGCTGGAATGAACGAAGAAGGTGATGACAATCCCTCCCTTAGTAGGCATGATTGTTTTTGGGATTATTGGCAGGAATATACATCCATATATGGACCATTTCAACGACGACTGGGGCGCCAATATACGCATGGTATGACTTGTGGTTATACTGACCAGAGGGGGCATGGAACTCAGTTTTTCAGGTAAAGGACTTACAGTGTTTCTATTAACGGTAGCCCCACAAATGTTTGAAGCGAGCACTATTGCAGGTATTAGTAAAGCAGTATTTGACCTCCCAATATATCTCTGTTTCTCTTTAGGCTTCGTAGTTGGAGCTGTTTCTCCAGCAGTACTTGTACCCTCATGAATGTATTTACAGGATAATGGGTATGGAGTTGATAAAGAAATACCTACGACTTTGATAGCCGCTGCGAGTTTTGATGATATCATTGCAATTACAGTATTTAGCATCTTCACTGATCTTGCTTTCAATAAAGTTGCGGAGGATTCAAAGGAACCTTATGAATCTATTTACACTAATGCATATCAGATCGTCACAGGCTTAGCTGTAGGGTGTATTGTTGGGGCAATATTAGGTTTTAGCCTCAAGAAGATGGCTCATAATAGGAAATCCAGAATGATAAAACTGTTACTGATATTGCTCATTCTTGCCTTATTCGTCACGGGTGTTGAGCTCTCAGGATTCCATGAATCACTCTACATCTGAGTACTGTTCTTTGGCTACATGTTGAATGTCTTATGGGGAGAGAAAAAGCCAGATGCTTATCTGGGATTCATTTGGAAATACATGTCTCCCTTCCTTTTTGGAACTATAGGAGCGGCTATTGATCTAGGGGACTTAGAGTTTGACATAGTTCCTAAAGCAATCTTGGTTATTTTTTGAGGATCTACTATCAGACTTATAGTCACTTACTTGGTTGTTTGGCAGAAGAAATATACAGTAAAAGAAAGAATCGTAATTGTCTGAGGATGGATTCCCAAAGCGACAGTACAGGCAGCTATAGGAGGAGTTGTTCTTGACAGAGCCAGAGACGACATAAAGAGATCTTCCCCTGATTACGAAGATTATGAAGACCATGGAAAGACTATATTAACAACAGCAATTATTTGAATTCTAATGACCGCACCATTAGGAGCAATTCTAACTAGCAATCTTGGACGTAAGTGGCTAAATAAAACTGAGCAAGGAAAACAACAGAAAGAAGTAGAGAATGAAGAAGATGAAAGGGAAGATAAGAATGGAAATGGGAAAGAAGCTGAAAAAGAGAAGCCGCTTGAGGAGTCAGATAGAAGTTCAGAGAGTCATGAGGAGGAGAAAGAAGAAGAAAGGCCAAAGATTGAAGATTCTGGGGTACCAAATGGAACTGAAGAATCTGGATCAAATTTCTTGCCTGATATTCACAATAAGTCCAATATACAATAAATATATCCCCAAAAATTTCAATCCCCAAAACCCCAAAACCCCAAAACCCCAATATGAAAGAAATAATTGAATATGGTGTATACAATACTTCCTCCGGGATATGTATCAATTAATCATTTCCTGTCCTCAACGCCTTCAAGCGAGAGTCGTTCAGCAGTTTGGTGTCCAGCTCGTTGAACTTGGTCAGCGAGTTCTGGTAGTGGTGAGAAGCCCTCTCAGTCAAGATCTCGATCTTGAAGTTGGCTTCAGTGACCTTCTTCTCATAAGCAAGTTCATCTTCATCAGTGGTGCTGTCACCTTTCTTCTTGAGTTCCTGGAATGCCTTCTGCAGCTTGTTGGTTTCGTCTTCGAGTCTTCTCTGGATAATCTCAGCTCTGGTGAGAAGCCTCTCTTTGAGTCTCTTCAAAGCTTCATTCTTGACTTCCATGGCCTGTTCATGAGTGAGTTCGCCGACTTCTGTGTACATGAGCTTCTCAAGGACAGGGTAAAGGAAGTCTTTCTTCTCATCTTCTCCAGTGTTTTCTTCTTCTTTCTTGCGACCCTGCTTCATCTTGTCTCTGGCTTTGTCATAGTAGCTCTTCTCGAGGATGTCTTTGAAGATTACTTCGGGGTCGGCTCCGCTCTTGCTGCTTTTGATTTCTTTTTCTTTGGTCAGTCTGGCTTCCATTTCTGCAAGAGCGCTTTCTTCCTGAATGTTGATCTGTCGATGACAGTCCATTTCCATTTCGTGGATCTTCTTGAGTTCTTGCTTGTAAGCGTTGTCTTCGGTTTCCTTGTTGTTAAGGTCTTCGACTCCACCGCTGTTCCCAATGAGCTTCTTACGATCATAGGGTTTTTCGCCGGCAGTGATTTTGCCTTCACGGTAATGCTTGTAAATCTGGACGACTTCACTCTCGATATTGAACTCAGTCTCACGAATCTGGTCTTCGGCTGGCAAGTCAGGGTCGAGGCCAAACTTCTGAACCATGCTCTTGATCTTGCCACATTTGTGGTGGATGTCGTTGACCTGAAGGATCGAAGAGTCCTTCTTCTCGTTCGAAATGGGCTCAAATGTCACTGAGCGGTACTCAAGATGGTCTTCTCTGTCTTTGTACTTTTCGATGGTCTTGGATCCAATGTTTTCTTCACGGTAAATCAGTCCGTCTTTATTCTTGTCGTTGTTACGGTGGTGATAGAAGTAAAGCTGTCGCTGGTGGCCGTCTACATAAACCATTTTCTTCCAGTAGTTGGTGGCTTCGGATGAGTCGTAGTACTCGACTAGCTTGAACTCGTATGGAAACTGTCGTCTCAGACGCAGCTTGTCTCTTCGGTTTTCGTAGTAAGATCTTGACTCCAGCAGGATGAGTCGCTTATAGTCGTCATAGATGCACACTTTCTTGACAAGTCCGTCAACCTGAGTGCAGGGTGCATAAGTGTCCACTCTGCATTTCTTGTAAAAGACCGTTTTCTCACCTAGAGGACACAAGTTTAAGAACTTGTCTTTGTCAAGGTAAAGCTTCGGTGACCATGGAGGAGGCATGTCCAACACATCTTCCATGATGTCTTTGTCGCCATCATCGTCCTTGTCATCAGCGTACATCTGGGCAATGTTAGCGTCGTCTTTCTTGGCCTGTAACATCACATACTCCCACTCGTCATCATCACACTGCAAATTGAGGTCTTTGATTTTCTTCTGCGGAGTCAAGTTGATCCAGAAGTTCTGGTGGTTGAAGACCCCTTCAACTGTTTGGTACGGAGCGTTGGCCTGGCTATACTCACGACCAGTCGTCGGCTCGATGAACTTGGTCTGTGGGAACTGTCTCAGACCCTGTCTGATCATCACCCAGCAGTGCAGCCGCTTTTTATTGTTCTCAAGTTCGTCATACTTTTCGAGATCAGGAGCATCATCATCAATGGTGTTTTCTTTGATCCACTGTTCTCTGAGTTTGCTCTCTTCATCTTGTTCAGTGGCTCTGTCGAACTTCGAAATCAACGGCTCGGCTTCTTTGAGTTTGTTGGGACGCTCGATTTTGCGTTCTTCTTTGTCTTCTTCGTCTGCAGCTTCGTTCATTCCTAGATCGAATGGGCAGTCCATGAGGCTCTCATCTTTGGTTGTGATGTACTTCGGAGCAGCTCCGTACACACAGTACGCATCGTAGCCTGACCCGATCAGCAGCGAACACAGCAAAATTGAGAAGTCAAACGAGTCTCCGGCCTGCCACTCAATGATGTTGCATGGAGACGGAATGTACTCAGGTAGCTTGTCAGGAGGACTCAGTTCTTCGTATTCCAAGAAGTTCGAGATGAACTCAGCGCAGTCTTTCCACTCATACAGCTCAGTGTAAGGCAGCTTTGTTGGTCTCAAAGTTGTGCAGATGAACTTGCGTATTTCGCACTCGTTCTTGGGTGCAAGCAGCAGTAGTCGAGATGTATCATAGCAGATTTTGAAGTGTCTTTCGTACTCAAGCACATGTTCGAGCACTGACTCTTCTTTAGTCGTGTTGTGTGAGTAACACCTGGGCACATGTTCACCAATCTAGAGTGAGCAGAAGGCTTACCTTGAATCCTTGACATCTCATTTTCTTGGAGCTTTCGAGATCGTCACCGAAATAGTAATCGCTTTCGTCAGCCATGTTCAAATATTTAAATTTATTTCAATTATAAAATTTTCTAAAGGGGTTTTGGGGTTTTGGGGTTTTGGGGTTTTGGGGTTTTGGGGTTTTGGGG